CATTCATATAGATAAAAAAAATGCATATATGCTTCCAAAGGGTCCTTATCACTCCAACCTAACCCATCCTTGAACGTGTAATCTCACTAGTGAATGTATATCGACTTTCCAATTTTAAGGAAAATCCGGCAGCATTTCCCCCAAGTTCTCCAAGTACACGATGTAGGTAATTACTTACAGACATATGTACCCAGAGAACAGGGTGAGGAAATGGTAAGCCATGATGTTCCTTAAAATCGAAAAAAAAGACATACATTAACCACCTAAGTCAGAGTAAACGTTCAAGAACAGTCCCAACCGGGGACTATTCAAGACTTTCTCCTAATGAGAAAGCCTTGAACGGGTATCTAGGCATATGATGATGTAAGCATTTTATATATTGTTGTATTTATTTTTCATTAAACAATACACAAGTTGTAATAGCATGAAAAAACTTTTATTAAATGAATAAAGAAAAAGAAATATAGATTAGAAAAGTTTATAATTCATACCACTATAGCAAGTATGGATGTATTCTTTCTAACTTCCCACTTGAGCTAAATATATAGTTTTCAAGCTAAACTTGTGCTTCAATTCACATATGAATCTATAAATTAACAAAAAGAAAAAACAAAACAAAAAACAAAAGTTAGTAAGTAATTAATACCTACATACATTGCTAAAGTATAACGCATCATTAATCAAACTAACAATTGCTAATTACTAATTTTTTTTAAAATTTAGAGTAATTAATGTAATTTTACTAATTTATTCACTAATTTATAACACAATTGCTAATCACTAATTGAACCACATTATATTTTACATACCAAAATTCAACTAACTTCACTAAGTTATCTGCATTTTAATGTGTATTAAGTTCAAATTAGACAATGAGCATATACATAAACTTTAACATGTTATGCAAAGAAAAAAAAAAAGGCAAAATTACCACCCATACCCAGCCCCTACATCACCAGCCCACCACTATTCCATCACCGCCCACGCCACCTAAACCGACCACCACCCCACCTAACCACCCCCCTAACACACCCAATCATCTAATGAGCAACAGTTTATGGGCTTCTTTCTAAAGATATAAAAATCAATATTGGAAAATATGTAAAAGAAGCACATCCACCTCATTACCATTTTTTATCATCTAAAAATATGTAAAAGAAGCACTTGTTGCACGCTTAATCCACACCCCTCACTCACAGCCACCCCAATTCGGCCTGCCCCCTGCTGCTCCCTCACGCAAAACCCTCCACCTCCGCCAACATCACCAACATTCTCATTCCTCTGCCACCAATCACAGCCAACAACCACCACCAAATTCACACCACCATAGCAGCCGCAAAACAACTAACAGCAGTACCCACACAACAACGACACCAACAACCAATTCACCTCGCAACCAACTTACCACCCACACCCACCCCCACCACCCAAAATCGAAAAAAAGATCCCACCACTAACCCACCCCCTAACCCACCACTTGTTGCTGCCAGCCACATGCATTGCTGCCTTGAAACCCCAAGCCCCACCCACCCCAAGCCACATGCAGTCACCCTCTCACACACTCCCACCAAAAATACCCCACAATCACTCAAGAACTGTACAATTAACAATGTAGAACATAATTTCTTAACATAAATACTGGTGTTTTACTTCACCATACAGAAGTGCTCTAAATTATGTGCAATTAAACCGTTGAAGAGTGGAGATGCTCTACCATATATCTGAATTCAAAAACCAAATCAATGACAAACCCTATATTGCGAAAACTAAAATCGATAATCTAAAAAGGACAACAACAAATTCTTACCTCGAAGTTGCTTCAATGGAGGTGAGAAAGCTCGAATCCGCTTCAATGGAGAATTAAGAGTACGCGTAATGGAGGAGTGATATGGACAAAGCTCATAATGCGCTTCAATGGAGAACTACGAGCACGCATAATGGAGGAGAGATATGGAGAAAGGTGATACGTCGAAGCTAAGAGAAGAAAGAAATCCAAAGCGAGGGAAAACTGAAAATGAAAAGCAAGGGGGAAAGAAAGAAAGAAGAATTGAAGAAGCAGGGTTTTTTTTTTTTTTAATTTCACAACGGTTTGAAACCGGTGCTAAAACAAGACTTTTCCCACCGGTTTGGTTTGAACCGGTGAGAAATCCCTTTCTCCCTTTTTTTTCTCTTTTTTAATTGGCACCGGTTTGAACCGGTGCGAAAAGGAGAATTCCGCACCGATTTAATAGGAACTGGTGTGAAAAGTCTGTATTCCCAATCACGCCCATTTCTTTTACCACCGGTTTTCAAGAACCGGTGCGAAAAGTAGGGTGCCTATTTCACTTTTTCTACTAGTGATATTTATATGAGAATTGATTCATTTTAGTTCAAATCCAATAATTTATTTGTTTTAGTGTATCAGTTAAAAAAATAAATCCTAGTTATAATGAGTTAGACCGCACAATAGCGAGGATAAAAATAAAAATGCCAAGAAGGAAACCAAGAAGGCATGAATGGAGTCGCCAAGCAACACGAACCGAAAATACAAGCTTGATTTTTTCAAATTTGGATCGAGAAGTTCATTGTGTTTGATAATTATATGTGAAATTGTATTGTATATTTTAATATTTAATAATTCAAGTTTTATTTTGTATTATAATTTCAAAACGTTGTTATAATATGACCAAATAAAATGTACAATACCAAATAGAGTAATAATCAATTACACAAAATTATCTAATTAAATTAAAATCAATTATAAACATTATCATCCATTTCCTTAAAACTAGATAGATGAAATATCTTATTCAAAAAGTGATTCTGTATGAGCCTTCAATTAAAGAAATGATGATTTTTTTAAAGACTCAACATAAGCCTCATTAGGACAAACAGATTTTTCCATTTGTAATGAATTATCATTTCTTCATCTCTTACAAAACAGTCTTTTTTAGTCTAAAACTCTTTCTCTCCTTGCTTAGATTGCTTAAACTTTCTTGACTCTTCAAAGGAATTAATGTCCTTGTTACCCACTGCATAAATTATAAATGATCAAATGATCAATATATAAATGAACATAAACAGTAACATATATGATCAACCATTATATGATAAAATGTTCATTATTCAAAAAGCATATGATCAATTACAGAAAAATCAAACACATAATAAATACCAAAACATAACTACACAAAAATATTCATTTTTTAAAAGACGCAAGAGCATATATAAATTAAGTAGGAAGGTTATCTAAGGGAGCATGACGTTCCTAGCATTGTAAAGTTCATTTTATTACATAGATGAACAAATTTTATAAACAACAAATATATACATGTATATGTTCACTAATAATAACGCTTATGAGAGGATCGATCATGGAGATGGAGGGATGGTTACGATTGGCGTGGGTTCGATTCCTCAACCTACCTCCTGTGATAGACTGATAGGAGGTGGGCCCCCCGTATCTTACCTGTAAAAAAAAAAGAAAAAATAATAATAACACTTATGATCAATTAGAAATGCAACATATATACTTCATATTTATTATAATATTGCAAATGATCAATGAATAACTAAATAGCACATAAAATTACAAAAAAGTATATCATAGTTACACTAACTGTTGTTACCTCATCATAGTCGCCACCACAACAACTAAAAATCACCATCATTGCAATTCTATCCAAATTAAATCTTCATGCTAAAAATTACTTGATTTTGGATCAGATTTTCTATATGATTCTTGTATTATTTGCTTGTCATTGCTACAATTAGAATCGTGATTTGCTTCTGAAACTGATAATCAATTCGAGCGAACTTGATTGATGTGCGTGTGAACTCGATAGCTTCTTCAAATTGCTCTATTTGTTGCTTCAATTTAGAGTTCGATTTTTTGCCCCCTTTTTGCTTGATCTAGGGTTCCTTTTGCAATATTTTTTTCCTTTTGATTTCTGATTTATATGATTATCATTTCTTCTCATAAATCGTTATGTTGACGGTGTTGGCTGGGTGAGTGAGGGTTGCATTGTTGGTGGAAGCATGGAGATTGTTGTTGGGAGGTAGGGGCATCAGCAGTGAAGCAGTGTCGTTTGGTAGGGGGTGCAGGGATTTTGCCTAGGGGTGAGCAAAAAATATGGGTACCTGGAATTGGACCCGGAACCGGTGGGTCCGGACCCGAAATTGGATCATCCAAGACCAGTTCCAAATCTGAATTTTAGGACCCGGTCTTAAACGGTTCCAATTCCAGTTCTTGAGATTTTGGACCCGGTACCCACTGGGTACCCGGTAGTACAATTCTGGATCCTAGTTGTGGGTCTAAATCCAAGTTACTTAGCAATCTGATAAGCAAATTAAGCCCAACTCATTTAATTTAATACGAAGTTTGAAACATTACTGACAATTGCTATGTTTACCAAAAAAAAAAAAAAAAAAACCTTTAACCCTAATTTCTTACTTTACACAGCCGCACAATCACCCATTTACCCTCACATTTGCTTAACCGCCCACTCACCCTTGTTTCCTCACCATTCAAGCAGGCAATCAACACCATTTTTCTCATATTCTATCAACAATTCTCCACTGTTGGCTTCAAGTTCTTTGGAATTTAATGTGTGGAGGATGAAATCGGGATGTGAGAGAAAGTGAAGATGATATGAGATAAAGTTTTGGTGGAATTTTGATATTGAATCTATTTCTTGAAGTAGATCGTGAACCCATTGTTCGTTATCTTTTATTCTTGATTACTGAATTGGCTTCGATATTCTGTCAACATTTCTCCGTTGCTCAGTAGCATTTTTAATTTTTAATTTTAGTATTTTGAATAAGACCGGGTACCTGGTTTAACCGGTTCCGGGACCAGTTCCAAGAAATTTGGATCCGGAATTATACGGTTCCAAAACCAGTTCCAATTTTTGGGACCCGGTCATAACCGGTTCCGGATCCGGGTCTTGAGAATATGACCGGGTACCCGGTTTTGCTCACCACTAATTTTGCCTACCCTTGGGTGTAGCCCAAAATTTGTAGGTCCTAAGACTAGCTTAAAATTTGCAGGATTGGGCTGGGTGATGGGTAGGCGGGCCCTAGCCCAAAGCAATTATCTTTAGATTTTTAGATGGATGGCGACATGGAGTAGTGGTTGTAATATAACAACAATTAAATCCTTGCAATTTTATAACAACCATTAATTCACTTCCCTCCAAAAAAATAAAATAAAATAAATATACATCCACTTTACCAATCCTCTATTAGCAATTCAGCGTTTATTTCAACCTCTAATTTATTCCCCTTTTACCCAACAAAAAAAGCATAAATCTCTACCATAAGATATCAAGAAACATCTACCACTACTTCTAATACCAACGTACTAGTTACATTAGCAGTGGGCACTTGGCATCTTGTCTATTGGCTGTAGCAAGAAGCCAATTATCTAAACTTTGTTCAAATATCAAAAATAGAAACTCCTAATTTATGAAATTCAAATTGAAAATATGAAGATTTTCGAAGAAGAATACTTAGATTTTGTATTAGTTCCATTAGGATTACTAATCCTTGGAATATATCATTCATGGCTTGCGTTTACCATGATTCGGCGTCCGCTAAGAACGGTTGTTTGCCTTAATACCATCATCCGACACCAATGGGTTCACCATATGATGAAGGTCAGTTCCTTTCTCTTCTTTATTCAGTTATTTGATCTAGATATTTATTTATGATAGAGTAAATAAACCAATCCCGAGTAACAACAATTTAATGGTTGATATACCAGCCAAATTCAGACATATTTTTTGCTTTTGTATCACGAGTATTTCTATGATTATTAATTTAATATTATCTCTTGCTATAATTGGTATATTTAGATTTGTTTCATATATTTATCTAGCTTTAATTTTATAAATGAGATTGTTGCGATAATAAATTAAAACCAAGATCACTCTTGTAAAATTGGAGTGAACTACTGGACTAAAGTATCATTATCATTATCAAGTTGTTCACCTACAAATCAAGTACTTTAGTCCACTTCAAGTCGTTAACAAAATTAATTTGATGTAGTCCAACTCCAACTCTGACAATACGCTTTTAATTTAGTAATTGCAGAACTATAGTTAATTTGTTTCTTTTCCTGGTAATCCTATTTTAGCAAGTTAGATTTTGCTATAATTTTTCAGTATGAATACATGTCTAGCTTTTCAATGCGAGGCGCAACCATTTGAAATACGAAAAAAATTTGCAGACTTTGGTGCTAGAGAAATTTCATGTGCATTACCAAGTATAGACCATAGAGTACCAAGACATGTACTCGGAGTAGAAATGAAGTGTAGTGTTTAGGAGTTATATGTGAACGTCAAATAGCTTAATTGGTTAAAGTCTTAGAAGTGATATCTAAGACCTGGGATCAAATCCCGTTTAAATGACTTCACTTAAGTAATCTAACTTCAAACATTTGGATTTATTAGGATCAAGGAAAGAATGGTATTCTGGGAGTACAAACAATCCGGAACAACCTAAAGGCGGCTACAGTTTTGGCATCAACTGCAATAACACTGAGTTCCCTAATCAGTGCTATTGTGAGCAGCACAAGTAATCTGACCTTTACAATACATACAACCAAGTATTTATCAGTTCTAATATGCTTCCTTGTAGCATTCTTCTGCAATATGCAGAGCATCAGATACTATGCCCATGTTAGTTTCTTGCTTAACGTACCACCACCCTCAGTCGACGAGGACAGAGAAGAGTTCGTTGAATATGTTTCCCAACAATTGTACCGTGGCAGCCTGTTTTGGTCTCTTGGTCTGAGAGCTTTCTACTTCTCTTTCCCCCTTCTGCTCTGGATCTTCGGCGCTATTGCAATGTTAGCTTCTAGCTGTTTGTTGGTAATTTTGCTCTATTTCTTGGATACTGCTACCTCTTCTCCAAGCTATCTTCGCAGCTATACTGTTAACAAGGATAATCACAACTCTGATATTGAATCAGCAGGTCACTCAATGTAAGTACTCTATCTGATGAAAGTATAATGCATACATTCTTGAATTCTGAAATATGTTCTTATGATTATAATAAACAGAGAAAATGACATAAATTAAGAGACCATCAAAATACACAGAACAATCTTAATTAGTCTACAAAAGGTTAATGTGATATAGAACAATCCCATGCCAGTCTAGTGTAGCACGATCAAATACTTTACCAAAAATGCTAATTGACGTTATTTGTATCATCTTTCTAGACTAAATTAGTGCGCATTGTTTGTATTTTCTGACATACATATATTGTAATTCAGCGGCAAACATATTTACAGACCATGGAAGTTATTCTTAATGATGATCTTACTAAAATATGGAAAATGACTTAAATCTTTTATGAGAGATTTAGGAGTAATTGCAAGTTTTATTAAGCATTGTACTTGTGGGGTTGTAAAGGAGAATATGATTTATTAGGGACTTCTACAATTAGCTGATGGTAATGTATATACGCAACTCTTCTTGAATGTTAAGGAAATATGGAGTATGCTCTGAAAGTGACTCAAATTTTCTATGGTTTTTCCCAATTTAGAGGAATGCACGAGTTTAGTAGTTTCAATATATTTTTTGTGACGTTTCTAATTTCTAATAATTTAAAAGCAAATTTATTGATCTATTTTTCTATGTGAAAAGTGAGTTATTTTCTTCCTCAGCTGTATAATTATGGCCGATATAAATCTTGTGAATTCTTCATGTGGTTTCAGGGGAACTGGTTGGTCAGGGGAATCGAACCTCCATCACCCGCTACTAGGAAGCACCAAGCTACCTTCAACTTCAGATACATTGAGATAACTATAATGATCTAAATGCAAGCTTGAAGAATTCAAGAGTTTATTGTGATTTGTAAAGCAATTTTTAAGGAGTACAGCCAGTAACAAGTACTAGTATTTTGTAGCTATCACAAGTAATTCTAACGAATTTATGTAACTAACTGATTTCTAGAAAGGAAAAGTTGCCTAGAATAATCCGACTTTTGCCTCATCCGCTCAAAATAATTCTACCTTTTGATTATTTTGACCTTTATACTCAATCCGCTCAAAATGGTCCCAACCGATCAAGTAACTATAACAAGTTACCTGACATGTGGCGGCCTGTGATTGGTCAAAAAAATATTTTTAAAACAAGTTAATTTTTTATAAAGAAAAAATTAAAAAAATATATTTAAAAACCACCCCACCGGTTGGCGGCTGCTCAAGCCACCCTCCCGCTACCTGATTCTTGCCCCGCGTCTCTGACTACCTATACTCGCAACCCCAGCACCGGCGTTGATGTCGTGCCCGAATTCCCTCCCCCTAAACCACCAACCACCCTCGAAAAATCCATGCCCCTTCTCGATCGCGACCTCCCTCCACTTTCCCCGCCACGTTTTTCGACCCCTCCCCTTCCCCTGTCCCTTTTCCGACCTCCTCCCCTTCCCCACACCCCGATTTTGGCCCCCATCCCCTTCCCAAGCCTCGATTTCGGCCCCCATCCTCTTCCCACACTTTGATTTTGGTAACGGTTGGCGAACGACACGGGGAATTGGGGTCTAGTTGCGGTGGAGCTGGCGGCTCTATGCCTGTTCTGGCTGATGGTAGGGGCGGGGAGGTGGTTGGAGCCGCGGTTGGGCTGGGCCTCTGGTATATGTTTTAATTTTTTTTTTTAAGAAAAAGTTTAAAATAATCAATTAATGTAACTTAGTAATAATCATTTCTTAAAACAAAATTAAAATTAAAACTTTTTTTTTACCAGTCATATGATGACACGTATAAATTAAACTTAATAAAAAAAAATCACCTATTCAATTGGTTAGAGGTCACTTGAGACCATTTTGAGCGGATTGGGTATAAAGTTCAAATTATTAAAAAATAATCAAAATGTGGGATTATTTTGGGCGAATGAGGCAAAGGTTGGATAATTCCAGGCAATTTTCCCTTCTAAAAACTTGTTTCCTTCAAAATTTCTAGTGTAGTCATCAGCTATGGTGACTACAATGACAATAACAAAAATTCTGGGTTTGAACATAAATCATGTTGTATAGGTTTTTTTTTTTTTTTTTTTTTTTACCAATCATGTTTTTGACCGAACCTTGTACCCAATCATGTTGGGACATGTTTATGCTGTATATATCATGTTTATGTGGATAGATATATCATGTTTATGTGGAAGATATATTTATGTGGATAGATACAACATAGATATTTACTTATATATTTATTTATGTTTGACCAATCATGTGATGATACGTGTAAATTAAATTTAATTAAAAAATTACCTATTTAATCGGTTACAGGTCACTTGGTACCCCGCCCATGTTCTTTCAACAAAATTGGGAAAGCATCAAGAGGTAATTGATGGCTTTCAATCTTTCTTTAATGAAGGATTTTTCTTTTTGAAGTGAATAGAACATTTTTAGCACTTTTTCCTAAAGTAGAACAACTAGCGGTAGTAAGCGAGTTCAGGCCAATTGGGCTTCGTTCAATTTACCTTATTTTTGCTGAACTGAAATTACAGAACTGAAATTATTTTTGCTGAACTTAAATTATTTTCACTGAACTAAAATTAATTTTACTGAACTGAAATTATTTCTGCTGAACTGAAATAATTTTTTTTTACTAATTTTCAGTTATATTTCTTCTTTAAAATTACTGATTTTTACTAAATTGAAATTATTTTTACCGAACTGAAATTATTTTTACTTAATTTTATTTTTTTAAGGTGAAGTGAACAGGCCTTAGTCTATGGAGTTCCTTCTATAAAATAGTTTCTAAATACATGCGTGATATTTAGACTGAAAGCAATCCTTCCTGGTTTAATTGGTGAATTCACAAACGCTTTTGTCCTTAGCCGTCAAATGGTTGATAATTAACTTATGATATTCTGATAACGTCAATCAAAAAGAGGAAGAAGGGAGGTAGAGGAAGAAGGGAGGTAGATTTGAAGATATGCTAAAAGTTCACTTGAGCAAAGCATATGATAGATTAAAATGAGACTAAGAAAATTCACGCGAGAATGGGATTTTTGGGTGCAGTGGCGGATCCAAGATTTCCGAGATAGTGTGTCACCATCAATTATTGATCATTTGTGAAAGTACAATTTTTTTTTTCCATATTTCACCAAATTGATTTCAATCCAAAAACAGGACACAAAAATACATACCACAACCAAATACAGTACTTAAGAATTCAATTTTACAAGTCGAAAATACTACAAATAACATGTTATAAACAAATGGTACAATAAAATTATTATATTGAATTAACTTTATGATTTTTTAGTTAATTGATAAGCTTTATGGGGAAATATTAAAATCGGTTATACAAATATAAGATATAAAAAGGGAAAAAAAATTATTAAAAAATTATACAAAAAAAAGTGAGATAACTTAAGAGACCAGTTATTAAATATAACTGGTCTCTTTAATGAAAAAAAAAGTAGCGCAAAAAAATTGCGAAATGCAATAGCAGCATCAAAGAGACCTCTTATATAAATAACAGGTCTCTTTAATATTTAAGTAGCAATAGCAGCATTAAAGAGATCGCCTACCTTAATAAAAGGTCACTTTGATGTTAGCAGCATCAAAGAGACCGCCTATCTATAATAAGGGGTCTCTTTGATATTTTATTTTTAAAAAAAATACTGTGTCACCGGACCCACTATGACTAAAGGTGGGTCCGCCCCTGCTTGGGTGTATGGAGAAAGTAGGTCTACCAATGTATATTACCAGTTACATATGCAATCCTTGTGAAGGGGAACCCACAAAATTCTTCAAACCAAAAGTAGGGCTCTGATAAGGTGATTTGTTGTCACCATATCTCATCATTTTTCTAATGGAGGTACTTTAAAAAAGATTGTGGAGATGGAGAAATAACTCAATAAGGCCTTATAAAAGGAGGTAAAGTAGCAAGAAAAGCTCCATCGATCAACCACTTATCTTGATTTTTACAAATGACGATCTATTTTTCTTCAAAGAGTTGTGAGGAATGAAGATGCAAAAGAAGACGTGGAATTAGAAGTTACAATAGTAAATACTGTAAACTTTTTTAATCCTTTGTAAAGCATCAAAAAAGGGTTTCATTTCTTTTCTTTTCACTTCGTGCAAACATCTTTCTTATTTTAGCTTAGAAAAAAAGAGAAAAATAAAGAGGCTAAGGGTCTAATATAATTTAAGGCCTAAGGAAGGGGTACGAAGAGACATCCCTAACCAAGATAAAGATAAAAAAAATAAAAAAATATTGGGCTTATGTTTTTCCAATTATCATTGATTATAATTTGTAAATAATTTATCATAATTTTATTTAAATTTAATGATAAATGTTATTTTAGTTTTCTTTGTACATATTGTCATCAATTTATTGGAATTCACTCTGCTCTCTCCCTTATATGTTTTCTTCTTATTTTACAGCTTTGAATAGAAGTGAGTGTATACAATTAAAAAAGGAATTCATTTTTCTTTTTAATTCTGAAACCATATGTCCCATTCTTCCAACTTAAAAATTCACAAGCAATCACATTGTTGTTAATTTATAGAATTGAATTACGACCTACTATCATGACAAACAACTTAGCGAGTTGCTGCTTGTCTTGGTATTATTAATTATTTTCTATGTGTATACAGTAACATCTAATTTAGGTACTTATGTGTAGTTTCCTTTGGCTTTGTTGCTGCCTATTTGGAATGTTTTGTGAGCTTGGTTTGTAAGTTGTAAGGGTTTTGCTTTTTTGGCAAGTTGAATAAAAAGCTTGCTTACTTACCAAAATAAAATAATAAAAAATAAAAAACGTAAAAGTTGAATTGGTACCCAAGACACACACTGTTAGTTAGGGACCAGAACAAAAATTCTGTTTACTAAACTTGGTCCTTTAGCTGGTGAATATTCAATATTTCCAGAGGTTGAGGATTATGTCCATAATGTATTTTTAGCATTGGAATATTTGTTAACTATGATAAATGGTAATTGTAATATTTATGGAGATAAATTATCCTACATACATCATAGGATATTGTTTTGGTTCTGCTTATGGAAACAAAATAATATTAAGGATGTTTTTCATTATGCGAGTAATGCATTTTGGTAAGTATTTTCGTTTTAAGTATGATCTTTTAGGCCACGAAATGATTTGTCTCCTATGGACTATAACATAATTGCATTTGCAGTATTGAGCTTTAAAGCTTTTCACACATATTTTTTGAGAGATTACTCGAAAAGCTCAAACAAACTTAGGAAACACCTCGTTAGTTTATTAATTATTTGTGCACGCAATTGTTACGGTTTTCACAGTCTCTTACCATGCTTTTGAGAAAGCATTATTAAGAGATATGAGTGTTTGTAACTAAATCACTAAGGGGTCAGTGATTAAGTAGCATTAATTTTGTGAGGTCAAGTGTAAGTGCTTGTGAGGTCAAGTGCGAATTGACAGAGTTAGGTGTGGGGATTGTTTAGCTTGAATCCTTTGTAATTGCTTTTGTTTTTATGAGTTGATTAATAAGTGTAGTTAGGGTAAAGAGGACGTAGGCTCTAAGTTAGGCTGAATCTCGGTAAATCTTGCTACTCTTACAGTTTTTATTATTCTAATGTTTCTTGTTTAGGGTAAAAATACCCTATGCCACGTGGCCAGTAGAATCATGACACGTGGCAGCCCACCAGAGGCCTAACGGGATCCAATTGGATGCTGACACGTGGCATCAAAACCCTAATCAGGGAACATGTCTCCCCCACTATAAATAGAGGAATCCTCCTCATTTATTGGGCATTCAAAAAAAAAAATACATACACAAATCCTAAGCAATATTAATTGCGGAATCTCTCTGAATCAGTGAGAAAACCCATTTACTTTCCGCACGTTTACCCATCCGGAAATCATACTAACTTGATCGTCGGAGGCGGAACTCCACCCAACCGGAGTTTCGTGGTTTTGCAGGTACAGAAGTCAGGCGCGCATACTCCGTATTATAACTCTCCCGAGGGACTAAAAACACCCGAGGATACTTTATTTCATTTTTTTGTATGAAAATCCCATGTGCAATGCACA